GAATGGTGTAATCGAGTGCTGGTGCTGTCCTTTCCTTGCTTTGTCGCCTAACTTTGAAATTCAGTATGAAACTTAGAAAATCGACTGGCTATTCACTAGGATATTTCAGTATCCGCCCTTGCGGGTTCTCTAAATCTAGTGAAAGGCAAACTTCGCGATGGACATAGAAGTTTACGCACCATTTTATGCTCCTAAGCTTCCAGAGTGGGTATAGAACATTCCTTGATTCTAGCTTGTACGTGAAGTCACCACGTCTCATCCATACTTAGGAAAAGACACTGAAGCTAGTAAGAAAGACCCTGGGCAGAATGTTGAGACAGCTGAACCAAAGATTGTTGGTCGACCGTGTAGAGTATTGGTCGAATTTAACTTCGGTCTAATCTGGATCTGCGAGCTTGAATTTTTAACTCTCCTTCCCTGAGGGATATCTACCTAGGAATATGTCGAAGCACTAACCACTAGACCAAAAACGATATACCGCGTCTAGTCAGCCAGGCGACGGAGAGATTTCTGTACCAACAGAATATGATCATCTTCTTCAAGGATATCCAGCTATAGTCATGATCTTATCGAAGATGGAAGAGTGTGGCCCCCCGACTCACTATGAATATACTCCGTAAGGAACAAGTTCGCAAGTTCATCGGTTCTGCTGCTATTGCGGCTAAATCTAGGAAGAAGCCGCCGGTAAAGGCTTAATGTATATCCTATGGTTCAAAGCGAAGAGAGATATAACATCATTGGTTGGTTGCTTGATTGAGTGGAAATGTATGGGATAAGCGGAGAAGACATGAGGAACTGAGGATCGGCTCACATGTATAGCGTTTGAGGAAGTACTTGGCTTTAATCGCAGCGTCCGTACTTAGACTCACTGTTTATTATATTTTCTCGGGGTTACTTCGAGGCGTATAGTAATGTATATCTTGTAGGCATTTTGACATCAGGAGTCAGAAATATTTTCAAATGTAGTATATACCTCTTACAACTCGGGTGAACAGTAGCAGTGATTAGACAGGATCGCTTTTTCTTCGGTCGGTAAGCCTACCTATATGTAAACACGTCATATCTTATCGGTCATCGAAGAATGCCTATCCCAAGGGTATCCCGAAGCAAAAGCTGGTATCGAATTCATTGGAACAGAGGAATCGCAACCTGTTTAATTACGGCGTAGGCACCTCGTTAGACCATTTTAGACAAGGAGCGTTTGCTGGCATGAAGGAACTTGTAGCATGTCTCTGATACGCATCTTCGGCTAATATTTCACCTAAGTTTAGATAAAGCTCTGTTCTCCAGACGGAGGTAACCGAAACCAAAGAAGATAAAGTTGAGCATGCGCCACTTTGACTTAATTCGCGACCCACTTCTTTTCTGGCTAGTTGAAGGGTAACCCTCTTCTAGAAAAGTCTTCTTGCGAGCGCTAATTGTACTATTAAGGCTACTACCTCGAATAGGCTCTTTCGCCGCCCAAGATAGGGCCATCGGAAAGCTTACCCCATCTCGAGATCTCAGAACCATTTTGAAAAAAGTGGAAATAAAAGAAAAGGGTTCTCAAACCTGAAAATGTCACTACGTTTTTCTATCCATGTAAGTAGCTCAAATACTTGAGGTGATATTGACACTCTAAGAACTATCCGCAGTTGAACAATGACGACTTTGTACATACCTGCATTTGGCATAGTCCAATCATGCTGTGATCCACCACGTGTACGCCATCGCCATCAGTCATTTCAGTCTCGCAGCCTGGTTATTGCGTATTATATGCTAGAGTCACTCAGACAAGCTAGTCCGGCTTAGGTGGTTGCATTGTTCGACTGCAAAGCGAATGTCGGTTCTATTTTCCTACCTTCAGCTGCATACGCCACTGCATTAGCAATCTGTTGTACATGGAACTCCAACTGGTACCAACGCAGTCACTGGAAACAGTATTTGCCCGAAGTGAAAGACCATCAACATTTGGCCTGCGAGGTAGAGGATAGCGAGAATGGCGGACAGGACAGTAAGCTCTGTCATCAGAACGATAGGCGCACCGGGGGGACCGTGCTCGGAACGGACTCACAGGGTCCCATAAAACGGTTCACGGGCCTATCTAGAACCTTTCAAACCAGCCTAGGAGGGTAAAGATAAGGTGCTTGGGAACGGGCGAAGGGTGAGGGAGAGAAGCTCGTTTCTAGGGGGCACAAGCAGCCTACCTGGTAAGTTACCTGGAACAGTTTGAATTTGAAGAGAGACCGATCTTGCATCATGGGTCCCGCAAAGCCCTGCACTCGTCATATGAAGCGGGAAGAGTGGACTAGACTAAAAGCAACGGTCGATGGGGGAAGGAGGAGGTAGCGGTCCTTTACCCCGCTCTCATTGTCTCCCATCAGGCCATTTCATTGGGAGGAAAAGTGAACCTGACACCCACGTAAACAGCAAAGATCCGGATCCATGGTCCCTCGAGGTTTGCTTTTTACTTCATCTCTGGACTGCCAAGGCCCGAGATTGCAGCTGGCGACGTCCGTTTCATGTTGTAAGCTGCCTCGCGGTCTTCGGGATGTCTAAGGCCCCTCATTGGCCTCGCCAACCTGCTTGGTTCTACTAAACACTGCAGCATCACCAGGTTGACTTGGTCAAGCTGTCCAAAGACGGCGGGTTCTATGGTCAGATTGCCGCCACCACCATCATCGCTGTTCGTTTTGTTCACGGAACGGGCATTCTTGCCTGGATCCGTGGCTGACCAAGTGTTGAAGCTGGCTTGTGAGATGGACGCCTAATGACTATGGAAAAATAACCTTGAGTCACCGGTCGGGAGGAATTGGGGAGACGGAAAAGCTCATCGTAGGTGTAAATACAAGGATAGGGGTATCGGTAGAAGGACGCTGGTGGGGGGCGTGTATCTCATCTGGCTGGCGTTGTGAGAACATGGGTGTGATGGTGGCGGTGATGTTGCTTGAACCTAAGTGACGAGTGTATGTATCGCATTGACCCAGGAGGGGATGAGGGGAAGATAATGTAGATAATCGGCGGATGTCCTCGGCCTACGCAAAGGCAAAGAAGAAGTAGTAGATAGATGGAAGAAGCGAAACCACCGGGCCATCCTTCCATTCAGGCAGCTTTCTTTTTTAGGAAAAGGACGGGCCTATCGTGGATGGTGTGCAGAAGTGGTCCATGTACGAGAGTCCACCGTCTCCAGTAGTTCCGGTGGGCAGGACGAGTAGGAAGCCGGAGGAGGTGGCAGGAGGGAATCTGATGCCTCGTCGCTGCTGAGGAGGAAAAAGCAAGCAGGTCTCGGAGGACGCGGGATTGGCGAGACGCTGCACTCCCTTTAGCCTTGGGGTGGATTCGAATCGAATTGTTCTGTCTGTTCCCCCTCCCCTCCGCAGTACTAGTCAGAAATGAAGAGAAGAGAAGGAAGGAAGAGGCTTTGCGAGTCTTGTCGGTTTTCCCATCCGCTTCTCTCTCTTCTTCCTTTTTCCCTCTTGTTCCTCTTTCCCGGATCCTATTCTCTCTTGCCACTCCCGAGGTTCCCTTAGTCTTGTACTATCATTATATTATCCATTTCCATTTGTTTTTATTTACGGGAATTGGTAAACTGTAAAGCAGAGCCCAAAGTATTACCTACGGTGGCTTTTCTGCCCTACTGAAGACCTTACTTGCCTACTACCTATTGACCGACTGAACGAGTGGTTGTTGCTCTGACTACGACCACCATTTTTGATTATTTTATCAGACAATTCAATTCAGTCTACTTCCTTACTACTTGGCTATCACAACTTCTACTACTACTACTATTAACTGACCGAGGGACAGGTTGAACCCTCTTGAACTGACCCTTACTGACCTTGACCTGTCAATTCGAACCTGATCTACTCCCTCCTACTTACTACTACTACTACAACGACGACAACCACCACCACCACTACTTCGCTACTACTTCGCTACGACTACTGCTACTACTACCACCGCCACTACCAGATCATCCTGCCTATCAGAAAAAACCCGAGGCTCCTTTTCAAACCATGAACTTTGACCAGTAAGCCTCTCTTTACACTCTCAGTCGGTCTCCATCTCCACTTGTCCTGACCAGAACGTCTTATCATCGCATCTCCAGTACTCCGTACTATGTCCAGCCTCTGTATCCTAAGATGCTAGAAAGGTCTTCCTGTGATTGTGCCTAAGCCTGTTTATACTTACTATCTTTTCCCCTCTCCTTGCCCCTCCCCCCCTCCCCTTTCCCCTCCCCTCACTCTTCACTGCCCTCCTCATCGTCCATTCACCTGAGTTGCCTCACTCCAACTCCCCCTCCCTTCTTCCCTCCCTCTTCTCTCTTGTCTTTTGACTTTCCCTCGCTACCATTCCGACTTCATATATGCATGTAACAATCTTTCCGACTTTTTCCTTCTTTTCCCGTCATCTACCTCATTCCCTGCGGCGCTACTGCCACGCCGTATGATGCGCCGGTGTCATTGTCACTTTGGTGTAACCAAGCGCTCGCTTCCCTGAACCTGACCGGCCAATCTCCACGGAGCGTTCCTTGAGTAGCAGATTTGCTAATCTCATAAGCATGTGTATCTACAGATGAATCGACAGAACGTGATTGGGATAACTGCGTATCATCAGCCATGTCGTAAGTCCCTCCTCGTCCTCCCCAGCCTGAAGGTGAAGCTGGCCTCTGGGACTGCGCAGCGTCAGTGGCAGCTGTCCTTCCATATATACTTGACTTTGAGATACCTCACACCCACCCCCTCGGGCCATGTGCTTCACTTGGACTGTTTCTCTTGTAATTTATCTACTATGTGTTTGTATCTGTTCCCGCTTTCGGCTAATTCACTGTCCTGTCCGTTTCCCTCGACTTGAAATTGACAAAGTGACTGGCTCGTTCTATTATTATTGCGATTATCGTTCTGGCCTTGCATTCACTTCTTCTTTATCTCCTCCTTTCTTTTCTCTAAAAAAAATCATTCTTCTCGTGTCGTGGGCTCATCTCTGACATCGGCGCCTTTCGCCTGTCCCTCTACTACAGGTCCTCTCCCACACCTAAGCGAATCAAGACTTCCATCTCTGCCAACGCACCATCACACCTGATAGCTCAACAGCAAGTCAATCCCTTTTCAAGAGTGCCTTCGTTCGAGGGCATTCCTATGCCCCAAACTCAGATTCCTCCCCAGAATCCGCGCAAACGCCGTGCTTCCCCCCAGTCAGGCTCTGCGGCTACCATGGCGGCGCCAGGCGCGGCTCCGGCGACGGGGGAAACTGCGCACGAGCAAGGACCTGGAGGATCGGAGCCTGCCCCTAAGAAGAAGGGGAGGACCAACACTCCGTGGACTGCTGAGGAAGAGCAGAGGCTGAAGACCATGCGCGATGCGGGTCGCACCTGGAGCGAGATTGCCAAGGTGCATAAAGCTCCCCTGCTTCAGTACCCTCCACCATGTCACGCATGCTGACCTGAATTTCCCGGGTGCTACAGACATTCCCTGCCCGGACCGAAGGCAGCGTCAAGAAACATTGGTACAAAGTAAGCAGATTCTAGTTTCTCTGTTCGGAAGACTGGATGTAGATACTTATGCCACGATAGGATATGCACTATGCCGAATTTGCTGAAGACGAGGTAACGACCCTTCACGTGCGACTTTGTTTGTCAAGCGATGCTAAACCAAGAACAGTCCGTAGCACTTCGGGAAGCGATTAGGGAATACGATGCAAATAAATGGAAGGCAATTGGACTGAAAGTCGGAAAGCCAGCCAAGGTAAAATTTCCGGGCTCTGTAGATGCCTTGCTGGATCGTTGACATGGGTGATTTAGGCGTGCGAACAATATGCGAAAGAACATTTCAAGGACCTTTAGATTTCCTACGAACTCTTGACGACGTGATGACCAAAGCATCGTCTTCCGCGAATGTAACGGATCGACGATGGGCATAAGTTTTGGATTCACATTGCTTTAGGCTGAAGATGTCAGCGCAATGTTCGATGTTAGCCACAATTTGCAAAGTATCGGGCGAAGGGTTATCGGAGTTGGCTTGCGTCTTTCATTTTACTTTCTGCTGGTCCCGTCTGGTCGACTATTTCCAACTTCTTCTTTTCTTACAAGCGCCTTTTCTGGTTATTTCGTCTTGTTCCTTGTCCCCTCATATCCTGGGTGAATACCACTGTTCGTTTCGCGTAACTCCATGACGGGGGTCTTTGCAGCAGCTTTTCGCCGCGGGGCAACGCACCCTGGACATCAATCCTGTCGCACCCAACAACACGTTGAAGCTTACTGTAAGGTTTTCAATCTTTCTAATAGAAGGGAACATAAGTAGACGCTTACTCTCGGTGTCCCAGCATGTAGTGGTCACCAATATGAGTTGTTGCTGAAGTTGGACTTATTATTCTGCAGGTAGACGAGGTAGTCAGCATTATATGCTAGTAGTTGCTGGTTGCTCAGCATTAGCCGGCACAAGCCGATCAGGGCGAGTGGGAGGAGTTGTGGGATAGATAGTACTATATCCGAAGTCGGGGAAGATGAAAAGCGGAGGAGATCCGCCCGCCTGGAAAACCGAATCTCCCCGCGGCAGATTACGATTTTATCGCCTCAAGAGTGGAATCTTCTACCCGCTCCACTTACACTCGCCGGAACTGCAATCGTTCCATCTTACTGTCAGATTATTACTGGCTAGCATTCTGCACGACTGCGATTGGTGTGGGATTTCTGCATAGCATTGATCAAAACTGGTAAATTCCTTTCGATGAGAAGAAATAACGAGATTCATTACGATCTCTCAAAAACTGTCAGAAGAAGTTTGACTGACGTGCGATTGGCGTATGTGTTCCATCAGGTGTAATCGCCACGACGAATCCAGTGCAATCGCAACAAGTACAGCTCTCCCGCCTTCCTACAGAAACCTTATGCAAGGGACGGCTATCATGAAGACGAGTAGCGTGGTTTTGTCTGTCGATCAAGGTATCTAGGTAGCGTGCCTGCATGAAGACCGGTGTTCAACAACTGGATGTCACACACACTATCCGGGCTAATATCTGGAGGGTTGCTTAACTCGCCGGATACTGTGATGGCTCCCGTTTGTTGATCTGAGATTATACGGTTGAACTTGATCTGGATAATTCCAGCGAAAGGACTCATGCGCGCTTTTCTTCTCTTTATACCCCACCTCTTCTCCGGTTATGTAACTGACATTGTTGCGTCAGGATGTCTTCGCCGCAAACTGTCCCCACCCTAGGGTCTCCCTATGAGAAGGAAATCTCAAGAATCCGTTCGACAGAAGATACTTCTCCTACCGCAAATGTCGAGAAAAAAGCCCAGAGGCAGCCGGGGGGGCCGTTTGCCTCTTCGAGAATGGCTGCGTATCTTCGACGATTCGAACAGCAACTCGTCGAATATCATCTGGAAGCTCGTGGTATAGAGCGGGTGCAGGAGCATGAACGGATGTCCAAGTTGACTTGGGTTTCTTACCTGCAGGCTTTCTTGCTTTGGGTCTCGATCAATCTGGCGGCCAACAACATCACACTGGGTATGCTGGGACCTGCTACGTATGGACTGAGTTTCCTTGACTCGGCTCTATGCGGAGTATTCGGTGCTCTAGTCGGTGCCGTAGTGTCCTCTTGGATGGCCACATGGGGCCCTATATCTGGTATTCGGACCATGGTATGCTCTCACACACTGTCTCTTGAAAGAACGTTGGCTAAGCACTAAATCTTAGGCATTCGGACGCTATTCAATGGGTTGGTGGCCCAGCAAACTCATCGTCATCTTGAACCTGATTCAAATGCTGGGATATGGCTTGATCGACTGCGTGGTTGGCGGACAGATCTTGTCCGCCGTTTCACCGCATGGAAACATGACGGTTGCTGTGGGTAAGTTCGTAGTGCTTCAAGCTATTGTTGTATGATTGTTGACAGTATGAAGGCATCGTGATCATCGCTATCATCAGTTGGGTCATAGCCACTTTCGGCATTCAGATTTTCCATTACTACGAGCGGTATGTATGACCGATCAGGATTGTAAATATCTGCGACTGACGGGACCAGATTTGCCTTTCTACCCCAGCTTATTGTTGTTTGCATACTGTTTGGCATGTCTGGGACGAAATACGACTTGTCCACGCCATCGACTGGCGACGCTCGCACAGTAGCCGGCAACCGGTAAATGCACTTCAAATCATTGAATAATCTCATGCTTACAAGCCACACTCGCAGTCTATCCTTCTTCTCGCTTTGCCTCAGTGCTGCAATTACATATGCACCGCTTGCAGCGGACTTTTTTGTCTATTATCCTCAGAATACCTCGAGGACATCTCTCTTTTTCCTCTCCTTGGGCGGCCTGATGACCTCTTTCACCATGGCTTTCCTCGTCGGCATCGGTCTCGCATCGGGCATCACCTCCGACCCAGCATACAGCAGCGCATACGCTGACGGTGCCGGAGCACTTATCGTCGAAGGGTTCAGCCCCCTAAACGGATTCGGCAAGTTTTGCGCCGTTGTCGTTGCCCTTGGTCTCATCGCCAACACCATCCCACCCACGTACTCAGCTGGCGTAGATTTCCAGATCCTCGGACGATATGCCGAAAAGGTGCCCAGAGCCATCTGGAACGCCATCGGAGTAATCATCTACACTGTGTGCGCTCTAGCGGGACGAAGCAATCTCTCCGACATTTTCACCAACTTCCTCGCGCTCATGGGTTACTGGGTCGCCATCTGGATAGCCATCATCCTAGAAGACCGCTTCATCTTCCGCGCCCGCAGCGGATACAACTGGCACGCCTGGAACGACCCATCCAAGCTGCCCTTGGGCATTTCCGCTTTCATCGCCTTCTTGATCGGTTGGGCAGGTGCAATCCTATGCATGGCGCAGGTGTGGTATATCGGGCCTTTGGCGCGATTGGTGGGTGAATATGGCGCGGATGTAAGCAGACCTGATGACAAACACATTTTTTTTCTTCTGCTTCACATACTAACTACTATATATAGATGGGCACCTACGTTGCTTTTTCGTGGACATGTGTGGTTTATCCGCCTCTTCGATATGCCGAACTTCGTTACTTCGGACGGTGAACTGGCAGTAATGCCATTGGGCTTCTGAGAAAGAGCCACAACTATCCAATTCAACATTGCAAAAATGCTCTACAAATAGGTCATTGGCCTTATAGGGCATACCCAAAACTGATCATGTACTATACTATATCATAGTACAATGCCGAGTGACAGACATTATCATTGTCACTCAATAAAAAAAGAAATGTACACCAGATTGCACAAGTACTACTCAAATTTCATTTCATCGTCACTATATCCTCTTTAACCTGACAGTAGCTACCAAATCATCCAAGGGAACAACTATCCAATATCTTCAATTCAATTACTAAACTGAAATCCCCTCCCCCCCCCCCCCCCCAAAAAAAAGACCAACTACTTAGTACATACTACGAAGTAAGTAAGCAAGCAGTACGCAGTACCTCCGTTCCCCATTATACTACTACCTACTACTTCACACCGCCTACAGGCAGGCTTAACTTTTCCCTCCTACCTATTCAGGCAAATAAAGAATCCCTCGAGGAGCTAGACTAGTAGTAGTTTTTACATACCACGTGATACGGCTAATATTTCCCCTTCCCTTCCCCTTCCTTCTTTCCGTTAGTTTCCGCTGTTCCGGACATCATGCCACCCGCGCGTAAACTAAGTAAATCGCTTGATCAGCTCACTTGCAACGTACCGCACTATAGTTAGGTAGGTAGGTAGGTACTCTGGTTTCTTTCAAGCCATGGAATAAAATTACTAGTAGTATGTTCTTGGGGTTTGTTGGCTTGCTTTCTCCGTTGAAATTGCTCAATAGTGGTACTGTGGTAGGGTAGTAGCGGTGTTCCATGTTATGGTGGTGTTGAGAGTAGTGGGTTGGTAGAATATAGTATCATGATATACCGTGTTGTGTCGTTCGGTTTTGGGGTGATATAACTCAGGTCTTGCTGGTAGATCTACAGTGCATCAAAGAAGAGTATATCTAGGACAAAGGAAAGGAAATGGCAAAAGTATACAACAATATTGGTTTCAAACGATACACACACACAACACACAACTAATAGTTCATCCCGATGAAATCTTGTACAGAAAGCCAGCGCCCCCCATATATCTCTCTCTTTTGTGACTTGTCTTGCCAGAACAACCCCTGACTCGCGCATGTACACATACAGATTATATGTCGGATTGTCTCTTCCCTCTATTATCTCGCTTCACTCCATTGTTTCTCTTTGCTCCGGATCGAAGAAATAGCACCTAAGTAGGGAAGGGGGAAAAAAAGAAAAAGGACAATCGCTCCATTCATTGTAGTAGTACATTGTATTTACCGGTACCAGTACTCAGGCTTGACGAAGTCGGCGAAGGTCTTGGGCTCCTCGTGAGGGGGGTGGCCGTGACCGTGGTCGTGGTCGTCTGGATAGGGAGCAATTAGTACATTGCACACACTGAATTATGGCCACCAATTGGGCCAGAATTGATGGGAAGTCACTTACGAGCGTGGGGGTCCTCCAAGGGGCCGACGTAGTTGAGCTTGACAACGTTACCGCACTCGCCGCAGCGCTCGATGGGGCGGTCACGGGAGACCTGTATTGTGGCTTGATTAGGGATCATGCTATCACAGGAGATAAACAGCACGGAAGAAATCGGCTTACAGTCAACCAGTTGACCTGATGAGAGTCGGCGGGGAAACCAGTGCAACCAGCGTACTGCTCGTCACCAGCACCGTTGACGATGATGGGGTCCTCAAGGGTTCCTATAGAAGATTATATCAGCGCCCACCCTCGCAAATCAACTATCCAAGGCTCCAAAAGCCACCGCAAAAGTGGAAATAGTGTATGACATACCCTTGCGGGAGGCATCGAGGGGACGCATGTCGAAGATGTCAATGCCCTGCATCTTTCCGACGAGTTCGAGACGCTCGAGACCAGTGGCGTGCTCGATATCGACGGGAACGGTACCGGCCTTAGCACCCGGGGGGATGAGGTCGTCCTCGGTCTTGATCTCTGTTCAGGAAGAAAGCGCACAATCAGTATGATGTCAACCATGTATCGGGGCATCGAGAAGATGCAAGTAGCCGGCTGTCAAATGTCCCAGTGCCCGAAACCCCGCATAAGATGCCCAATTGCAACTTCACTCGCAGTACAAGTCGCAATTGTTATCTTGCAAGTGTATCCGTAGGGACAATTGACGCTTCGTGTAGGAGTGGGTGTTATGCCAACTCACCATCGAAGGGAAGGATCTTGCCCTCCTGCTTTACCTCATACTTCTTGGCGTTGACTATAGGAGCAGCAATGGCATGTTAGCTCGCATATCCAGAACCGACGTCTGCAACCCCGTGCAATTGGCCCATATAGAGACCATGGGAGCGCGGGAGAAAAGGGACGGCTGCCACTGCTGCGGTGCAGAAGAGGCGGTCTTTTGATCTGACGATGAGGGTCACGTACAGCGGGTGACGGAGGAAGAAAAGGGACGGGTAGCGAGAGCCCGGGTAGGGGTGCGCCTGGCGAGGGCGAAGGCTGTGCGTTGGAGGAACATTGTCCTGGTGGGTGGGTTGCAATGACGGCAGACAAGGCAAGGACGTTTGGAGTTGAGGGAGTTTGGAGGTTGAGGTGAGTTTGAAGCCGCTTCGGCCCGTGGTCGCCTGCCCTTAGTCAGCGCCGGGGATTGATTGGTTGCGGAGCTTCTACGGCTGCCCGCAATGACCTGGTCCGCAGATCTGCTCGATTGGGCATCCGGCTTAGGGCTTAGGGTCTACTGTCTGCGCAAGTGGTTTTCTGCGGTCTGCCGTAGATTGAAGAACACATGCCCCCGGCCGAGCAATGGCCGCGTTCAGCCCGGGATCAGCCGGTGCTAAAGTGCGAGAGCGGACGCTAGTGTCGGTTCATTGCGAACGAACAAATGCCGGCGCCATATGTTCCCCGGGCTAAAATGAATTATCATACATCACTAAATACCTTACATCAACCGTCCCTATAGTATATCAGAGATATGCTGATCATCCTCCCGTGCCTACAACAGGCCCGCACCACCAGCCCTATCGGAAACCCGACATTTGAACCAAAATGGAGAGTAGGGAGATCAGAGGGTCCAAAAAAGGTCGAATCTGGCGACAGTAGATTTAGATGAGAAATTCCCCCAGCCTTTACTGGAGTTGCATAGCCTTCTCGCGACAAGCAGCTGGGGTGAAGCCATTTCCAACCTTCCCTGCAATGATACGCCACCGATCGTTCTCGTATTCGTGCATTGCCCGTTGCAGCCTTTGTACCTATTCCCTTCATTAGCATGTGAGAAAGACGTAGAAATGCACCAGGGAAATTCGAACCATTTCGTCACTCCAAGCCACATCCTTGGCCTTCAGCTTGGTGCAGTATCGGACTTGCAAGGTGCCGCTCGTTCGGCCCGGGAAGAAGTCTGCAATTTGCTTCCATGTCAAGTTTTTGTTTTCCTTCAGCTCCACCAGTAGAGCGTCTTCTTCGGGAGTAAACTTCAGTTTTGGACCTCGGGGCCTGGGAGCTGGATCCGGCATTCCAGGCTGGCCCACCACACTCGGCGGACCCGAGGGCAAAGGAGGCGATTCCACATTCACTCCATGACGCCCCGGGGCGCGCAGCGCTGCATGGGGCGGGAGTCGATGGTGATGGTGATGTTGCGGCAGGGCCACAGAGTCCGTGGGTCCGAATCCATGGTTTGACATGGGATGCTGCTGAGATGATGTGCCATGGACACCGAAGAGCATCTCGGGAGAATGCGAGGGTTCGTGAGGGGCATCGGCTGAGAGGACTGATAGTTGTGGCCGCAGGCCATGGTCGGCGTTCCCATCCTCTTCGGTCTCCGAATGAGGGCGTTTCTTCTCGCGCTGAATAGGCGGGTCGAAGCTGGCAGGTGGATACTGCACTGGAAGGTGTCGTGGGAGCATTTGGGGCGGGCCAAGGACAACGCTTTGCGAGATATCATGGACTGTTTGTTGCGGAGTGGCTGTTGACAACACGGTCGCGTTCGCATGGTGTTGCCCAAATGCCGTCGTGCTATGAGAGGCCCCCTGAGAGAATGGAGGCTCGGGCTGCTTGTGATGCTGGAGATGCGGCTGCTGTGAGTGGTAAACAAGCGTGCCTGCGTGTTCCTCAGGTTTGCAGGTAGCATGTTGAGAATAATCAATAGCATACTCTCGATACGGATCCGCCAGCGTCGCGGACATACATCTGCGCCGCTAGAGCCTAACAGCCCTGGCAGGCTAATGACTGGCTCTAGAAAAAAAGGGGGGAAGAAAAAGAAAGGAAGGAGGTCGAAGATGCTATCTCGACGGAAAAGGCCGTCACGAGATAGGCTGGCTGACTGTCGGAGTTCGTCCGATGAAGCGAAGAGTGACAGATCGTGAAATCCTCTGGGTTGAAGCAAGGATCAAAGCTTTGGCCATGTACAGACCGAACTTCTGAAGCCTGGGAGATTGGGATATGGACCGTTGGCTTTCAGAGCGTGAGGCACGATACTATCTGGTCGTCAGAATTATAGGTCATGGACTGAATGACTCGACAGCAACGTCAAGACACGACGATCGCTCATCCCAAGGTGCAGGAAGGAAGAGAGTAGCGAAGTCAGGTCACAGGACATCGAACACATTTGAAAAACAACGGCTGAGAGAACGGAGAGAAGAAACAGAGGAGGAGAGTGAAATAGGAAGCTAGAGGCGACACAGGGTCTGGCCACCATGGGAAAGGGAAAGAGTCACTGGGCGAAAGGGATGGATAGATGGCTTACTAGTACTACTCACCGGGTCAGTGATGAGCGCGCCAGCTGGGAAGTCCCGAAAAAGACCGGTAATCTTCACCAGAGTCCAAACGCACCGACAAGAGGCCCGGCCCAACCAAATCTACTGAGAGAAGTCGGAGGTCTAATTCTCATGCCAGAAACTCCGCAGATAGGCTTGCAGCCCGTATCCCTCCGTCGTTTGAGATGCAGGATCTAACGGGGGAAGAACAAGTGGAGGTTGATGCCGGGATGCTGCTTCCAGCTGCATGTAAAAGTCCCGTGCAGAGCAGTGATAGGGTAAGTGTTAGAGGATATATACGGCAGCGTAGACGGCCGATGAAAGGTTCTGGAAAGGGCAAATCATAATAAATAAGCTGTCAGAATCCATGGGGTAAAATTGACGAGACACGGAGACACTCCATATAACCCAAATCAGAAAGGTGCAGGTGGGCTGGCAGAAGAAATCGCCCATTTGACGGATCTGCGTTCCAGTCAAGCTTAGCTTGCAGAGGGACCCAGAGGGGACAACGGTCATGGATGCCAGCAGGACGAAGGATGAGGCTACCATTTGCCTTCCGCCGGCCCGTCTGGTGATTGCCAAGGCATGGCAGTGACTGCCGTAGAGGAGGAAATTAGGGCAGTAGTCGGGAGATACTGTGTACAAGTTTGAAACACGGCGAACCAGCCAAAGCTCAGGTAGACAAAGAGTCGCCCTCCATTCATCAATCAATCCATCACTCTCTCTCTCTCCTCTTTCTGCCCCTCTCCCTTCCTTCGGGGCTCTACCGTCTCCAGCCCCGAGCAAACGCAGAAGCGGGGGGGAGATCCAAGCCCAAACCCATACGTAGGCCAGGCATAATCTGAAGTTAACTTATTGGATACGAACGTGAATGAGACGAGCGAGTCGGTGGACTCGGGTCAAGGGAGTCAAACCTGTTGTGCTGGTCTGCTCCTAACTCGCTCAGGAATTCGCCCCCTGTCAGAACAAGGACCGTCGTACGTCGACGCAGCAACTCCACTCAGCGAATACGCCAATGGCGGGTAGAGAACGGTCGTCGGCGAGACATCCACCTGAAAAAGGTGATTGGAATGACTAGCGGGAGGGTGCTAGCTTGCTCGGAGGTGGGCCATCAGGCTAAGCAGGGAGTTCCGGCCGAGCCTTTGTTTCTCGAGAGTGAAATGGAGTAACGACCCTGGTCTGGATAGTGTATATAAAAATCCCGTAGCCTGGAACGGGCGCGGGAAGCCAAACCAACACAACACCAGTGAGGGAGTCAAGAAAGAGCGCGCACATCACGACTCCTCAATCACGCATGAACGATGTGCGGTGGCTCCCATCGACTAAGAATACGACTTTATCGCGCAGGAGGAGAAAAAAATGATCGCGGGTCAGGCTCGAGCCTAAACCGTACCCACGTCTAGGTTCCCCTTTTTTGCCTGGCCTCACTTTTTTTTTCTTGTACTTAATTTTATTTTACTTTCTTTTTCGTTCTTTTTGGGTCTACGGCCCCCTTGGGTTGTGAGGCCAGACGAAGCTGGACTGGAAAGCCATGTCCCTTGTCAAATTGGAGCAAGTTTGACCCTTCTGATGAGAGCAGGAGCCTTCCTGTCAACCTTATTTGCTCTTGATTCTAGGTCACCCTCGTGGACACAAGCCCCCGAGAACGGTCGGAGGCCGGGAGCTTAGCGCGTGGGTAAAATATGTGAGAGGTGGGTTGTCATGAATGTGTCTAATGTTTTAGTTCATTTTTATTTTCCTATTTCCTTTTTTTATGATATGATAGGCCGTGGGCGGGTGAGAGTAGTAGCAGTAGCTCGAGCTGTTTGCTGTTAAGGTGTAAGAGAGAGGCCCTGAGAGCCACCACCGTGTCATAGCGGTTGAGATGGAGAGAAAGCTACTCCATAGAGTGAGTTACGTTTTAAGCATCCGGCTGATTCCTAATTATTGTCCCTGCTCGATCAATGAGCATCAACGGATGATAGATCATGGACACAGGCAGGAAGACAATAAGGAAACATAAAAAAAAAAAAAAAAAAAAAACCAAAAAAAAGATAAAAAAGGGGAAAACGGGGTTGGGGAGCTTATACTTTGTACACAACACGTAAGACCCCTCTCAGACTTCAGACTGAATATCGCCTTAACCTGTAGGGGTAGTAGTCTCAAGTAGGCGTGTACTCCGTACTCCGGACAGGATTGGCGTCGAGGTGGATCCCCCGTAAGCCCATCCATCGTATCTTGCAGTTGCAGGGCGAGTTCTTCCGATGGGTCTTTGCAATTTGACTTTCGTCCCGAGATTTCAGGCCATGAGGCACTGGTGAAACAGTCGAGTTGATCACATTGCATCAAACCACCGAAATAAAATGAGCCCGACGCGAATGTCTTAGACGCCCCGACCAGCTGGCTGGATGAGTGCTTGGGCCAGACCGTTGGAAATGTACATCGGATCCAGCCGGAAGGGATGGTGTGGAGGAGGAAAAGTGAAGCAGGGGGGGTAAGTGAGAGGCGTTTTCAGTTAGCAGCCGTGCACGGCACAGAACAGGGAGAGAGAGAGAGAGAGAACGTGAGAGGGAAAGTGTTCAGTAGGACTAAGTAGGGTGGGTGGGTTCAGACGGGCGAACAAGAGGGAAGGAGAGGGAGAGGGAGAGGGAGAGGCAGAGTAGTTAGTAGGTGAGTGAGTGAGTGTGAGGGAGAGACAAGAGTTAGGAGCACCCCCTCCTTCGTACTCCGTCTTTTTGCTCGGTCAAGTTCCATCAAGACACAAACAATGATCTTCCCACCTTCGGCTTGAGAAAATAAAAAAATACACACGTCAACTAACCCCCTCACCAAACTAGACTATTGATATTAAGCATATTCCGGTCTAATTTATAGTATTTATTATTATTATTACTAGACCGTTAATAACGATTAACCTACCCGGCCCAAAGTGGACTCACACATGATTGACAGTCTCCTCCGGCCCTCTTTAGCTCTGCTGCCCACCCACATGGTCGATCCCCTAAACTCTTAAAGCCCCGAATTGTATTATAGCTGCCTGTTGGATCTCCATATTGACTCCTCTACTCTACCTTCAGCATACATGAGGACATCTACAAACCGATGACCACTTTGGGTAATTAACTTCTTAAACATACATCGCTACCTACATGTCTACTGTACATAGCGCAGCCATTTTTGCCCCGTCCCCGCCACCGGATCTCCACTTCCGTTGGGCTTCTCATCCCTCACTTGCTGCCAAGCATCGATATCAAAAAATGTAACCATAGTAAGACACATGAGAGGATTTTGTATACTGCAAACATCAAATAAAAAGAAAACTTTGAGAGGGGGAAAAAGACATGGCTTGAAGATATAGGGAAATAATATCGAAACAGCGTAATGGTCCGTAGAAAAGGGAAAAAGAAAAGTATTATGCCAACGCCATCTACACATCGCTCACGCAAAGTTATCAGAACGGTCAACCCAAATATCTTCCAGTTCCGCAAAGTTCTGGAAGTGCAATGGACGATGTTGTTCATCGTAGAATCTCAGAGGGGTGTCGATCTTCACGTACACCGGCCGCTTCTCCACTCCACCGAAGGAGCTGCCCATGAAGCTGTAATTCCAGACGTTGTCTTCCGGCACCAGGAAGTATCCGCGGATCTTGTCACTGAGCAACAGCTGGCACTTCTCTCCCATGCTGGTCGAGAATCCCTGGGGTTGGTCAGACGTGGTATCACGATTCTCTGCTCCCCACTTGTAGCCTTGGGGCGTGAGACCCCAGGCCGCAAGTGACACGGATCCAGGGGTGAAAGACACTGTCATGGTAACCGTCTTCTTGTCCCAGGAGGAGTGGGCGTTCATCAAACGAGCATGCTGTGTAACATCCATGGCCGACATGTAAGGGGGCTCGTTTCCAGAGATGGTGTGGATAACACCCAGAGGTTCGAGGTTGTTGAGATAATCGTGCTGGGGCAGCTGCTGCGGCAACTGCACCTCACGCGTATTGCCCACCTGGGGGATCATGACAATAGTGCGGATTTCCTTCACCTGGTCGTTATCAGGTGGGGAGGTACCGTACAAGTATCCAGCAACTTGCACACGCAGATCTGCAATCGTGATGAAGCGCTTGAGGACGTTCTTCGGCATGATGTAGGTGTATCCCTCCTCCCGGACGTCATCCGACGAGATGTAGATGTTGTTCGACCTCGTGCGAAGGTTGGACGTCGCGATTGCCCGTGTGCGCCACTCAGTCTTGGAAGCAAACGATTGCTGCTCGTACTGAGACGTGGTAGTGACGATGATATCCTCACCACGGACGTTCTGTGTCTTCGTCGTAACAGCCGTGAGTTGCTTCTGCTCTTCCTGCTGCTTCTCAATCTCCGCGGCCTGCTGCCGTTGCAGGGAAGGAGCACTGATCTCCATACCCAAGATAATATCGCGGACTTCACTACTCGTCAGACTCTGCACGTTGACGTTGTTCTTCTTGCCGTAGTCGTTGAGAATGAGATCGCGCAATTGCACTTCGACCTTCATCCAGTCTTCATCTGACAGCGAGGGCCAGATATGGTGCTCCTGGGTGATGACACTCTTGTCGGGTCTGAGGATAATCTTGGCCTTGTCGATATTGACGTGAAGGGCCCTCAGGATGAGGATCAAACGAGAGAAGGCGATGTAAGGAGAGATGGACTTCAGCCACTCATCGTACAGGTTGAACAGGACCATCTGCGGCTCCGTCGCCCGAAGGATCATATCCGCAAGCTTCTCAACCTTCATCGCGGCCTGGAAAGGAAGTTGAAGCTCGGAAGCACGGATGGAAATGTTGGGGAAGTCCAGCAGGTGAACTTCCAGGGGATCCAACAGTCCCTTACGGGTAACAATCAGCTGCTTCGGCTGCTCCTCAACAGGCAGGGAACGAATGAGGGCCGCCACTTCTTCTGCTGTCTTCCACTTGGCCAACTGACCCAGACGCTTCTGTCCAGCCCAGACACTAGTGTGAATGATCTTCAAGAACAGTTGTCCGGTTCTGGGGTTGAAGATGAAGATAGCACCGTTGATGGGCTTGGTCGTCAGGTTACCTTCGAAGGTCTTGTGAATGGTGACACGGTAGACATTGGTATCGTCAATGAACAGCTGGATCTGAGGACTGAAAAGCTCCGAGTAGTTCTGGGAGTTCAAGAACTCCTGGTTGCTTTCCGAGGCATAGAGCTGCAGACCCTTCCTGATACGTTCTCTCAGGACATACAAGGCGGGGTTCGCCTTCATGATCTTGGCCATAGCCTGCTGGATAAGGGTCTTCAAACCAGGGAAGTACTGTCCATAGGCCGAGTACAGGTTGTACGCGAGATCAATGCCAATCATCAAACCGGTAGCAGAAGGATAAATACTCATGCTGTCGGTGGTGTAGTCGAGGTACTTGGCACGAACATATCTCTCAATGTCGTGGGAGTCGTAGTCACCATATCTCAACTGCACGTCAAGCCAGAACTTGTTCGTCGTAGTTGGCTCGTAGACGTCCTTGGTGTCGAACAGCAAGGAAGGACGCGTGACGTTCCACTTGTTCGTTGCGAAAAGCAAGATATCGGCGCAAGAGCTGTTCATCTTGTAAGACTTACGAGGGTGAATAGTCTCCTTCTGAACCGTCTCGATACCCAGCTGCTGAAGCTCCTGATCGAAGACCTGGCACAGATCCATGACGACAGACTCGTGAATCTTCTGCCACAAGTGGGCACGGAATATCTGAATCAACGAAATCTTCAGGGTCGGAATTTTACCGTGCAAGAAGATACCAGTAAGATCCAGCTGGACCTGGAAACCAACGTACACGTTGGCACGGTTAATAGTGGGAGACCACCACAGAGTGAAACGACGGTTAGG